GGGCGAGGCGGTGAAGGCCGCCATGGAAGAAGAGATTCGCAACCTCATCGGCATGGGCACTTGGGAGCTGGTCGAACGCCCACGTGGGGTGAACATCATGAAGAGCCGGTGGGTGCTGTCGACCAAGTACCGCATTGACGACACCGTCGAGCGCGAGAAGGCGAGGCTGGTCGTACGGTGCCGACTACGACGAGACGTACTCGCCGGTGAGCAGCTACGTCACGCTGAGGATCTTCCTCAGCATCGTCGCCGTCCTCAACCTCAACCTGATGCAGCTCGACATGAAGAACGCTTTCCTGCAGAGCAAGCTCGACAGGGTGCTCTACATGTACCAGCCGGACTACTTCGACGACGGGACCGGCCGGGTGTGTAAGCTGCTGAAGAGCCTCTACAGGCTGAAGCAGTCGCCGCTGCTGTGGTACAGGGCTCTCGACGGAGTGCTGCTGGGCGCTGGCTGGAAGAAGAGTCAGGTCGATGAGGCGCTCTACTTCAAGACCGGCGACGACGGAGTGACCTGCTGGGTGCTAGTCTACGTCGACGACCTGCTCGCCGCCAGCAGCAGCACCGCGATGCTGAAGGAGCTGAAGGATCTGCTGGAGGCCGCCTTCGAGCTGCGTGAGATCTCGCCGGTGGTGAAGTACCTCGGACTGGAGATCGTGCGCGACAGGCCGGCCAGGAAGCTGTGGCTGCACCAGCAGGGCTACGCCGACAAGCTGCGCAGGCGCTTCATCGACGAGGAGCAGGGCGGTCGAGTCCCGAAGACGCCAGTCTCGGTTGACGCCTACGCTCAGCTGACGTTCGACGACGAGGAGGCTCAAGAGCGCGAGGAGGAGGAGTACCGGCAGAAGGTCGGCTCGCTGCAGTTCGCGGCGACGACGACCAGGCCGGACATCGCGTTCGCCTGCAGCAAGCTGGGGAGCGGCCTCACGGTGAGGAGCGACCAGCATTGGCGCGAGGTCGACCGCTGCCTCGCCTACCTCGCCGACACCCGCGACACTGCCCTGGAGTTTGGCGGTGGACCAGAACCGTTGGAGCTGATCGGCTACGTCGATGCCGACGACGCGGGCAACAAGCAGAACCGGACGAGCACGGGAGGCTACGTGTTCGTCTACGGAGGGGCCGCCGTCTCCTGGTCGAGCTCGCGCATCAAGTGCGCGACATTGTCATCGACCGAGTCGGAGTACGTGGCGGCCACGGACGCCGGCAAGGAGGGGCGTCGACTTCGCTTCCTCCTTGCGGAATTCAAGCTGCTCGACGCTGGGAAGCCGACCATCCTCCGCGTCGACAACAAGTCGGCGATCACGGTCGCTGAGGGCCTAGGGTTGACGGGCAACCTCAAGCACATGGAGCGACGCTACGCCTGGCTGCAGCACATGGTGAGGCGCGGGAAATTTGTGCTGAACCACATCCCGACCACCAAGTAGCCGGCGGACTTCCTGACGAAGGCGCTGCATTTTCCGGCTTTCAACCGGTGCTCTGTCGCCATCGGCCAAGTTCGTCTGGTCGACGTCGGCGACGGCGACGACGAGGTGCAGCAGTAGGTGCCGTGCCCTTCTACACGGCTGGTGCGGTGACGGCGTGCTGTGTGTGGGGTGCACGCCGAGGACGAGTTTTCTCCGTGGAGTACTGCCGTGTGGGCTGGAGGCTCAAGCGTGAGCGCGGCAGGGGAGTGTTAACAGGAATGGAGTGTTGGCCCCGCCCTCGCTTGGGCAACGCCGACGACTTGGTCGGATGTACGGGAGTAGCAGCCGACCGTTCACAGTGGGAGAGCTGCTCGACAGGCTTCGTCGAGCTGCAGGGGACCGCTGTGGTGTTGCTGTCGACCAGAGAGCTCGACAGCTGCAACTGACTGGTCTGGGCGACGGGTGGGACGTCGACCAGGACCTGCAGTTTGACCGGGAGGTCTCCGGAGCATCCCGTCGACCTGCTGCTCGACGAGGAGGTCTCCGGAGCATCCCGTCGACCTGCTGCTCGACGAGGAGGTCTCCGGAGCATCCCGTCGACCTGCTGCTCGACGGGGAGGTCTCCGGAGCATCCCGTCGACCTGCTGCTCGACGGGGAGGTCTCCGGAGCATCCCGTCGACCTGCTGCTCGACCGGGAGGTCTCCGGAGCATCCCGTCGACCTGCAGTTCGACCGGGAGGTCGACGGGGCAGTTGGAAGGGGTCCGTCGACCAGGGGGGTAGCTCGACGGGAGTTGTGGTCGACCAGAGGGACCTGGGGGTCGACCAGAAGCAGTGGTGGTCGACCGGAAGCACCTGGTGGTCGTCCGGGTCGACCGGGTAACCTGCTCGACGAGTTCTGCGGAGGCACGCGAATGTCGTCGAGGTCGCGATGGCGAAGGGGACTGCGGGCTGGTATCCCGAAGTCGATGTGGCTTGTCAGGCGCAGACAACAGCCGACAGATGCCCAACGAGGCAAGTCGGGCCAATTGTCTGCGCGCACATGCGAGCGTGCGCACTGCTGTGTTCTACGGGGCAACGCTGGACAGCCGCTCTGCTGCAGCGTTGGCACGCCGTCGACCTGCTCTGTTGGTAGGTCGCCTTTCTGCAGTGCTGGCGCGGCTCCTCTACGCAACGCTGGCAGGCGGTCGACCGAGCTGTGCTGGCGGTCGACCAGGCTAGCAGCAGGGTTGCTAGGTGCCTGATGTAGTCATTCTGTCATTGCTTGTTTAACAATTCTGTAATTTCGACTTTGCCTAGTGGAAACTCTTGCCGATTTCTCTCGTGAATGTGCAAGCACTAAGGAACCAAGCAAAGCTACGATCACCTCTAGTAGCTCGTGCCAACCCCGTAGTCTAGCTCACTACCGTTGTAGAGTGACTCTCCGCAGGGGCGGCGCGCTGGCCTAGGGCAGCAGTAGGCAGCGCGAGGGCTGCAGGACGGCGCGCGCAGCGCAGCACGTCACAAGGCAAGGCAGGCAGGCAGGCAACACGTGGGGTAGCGTGGTAACCGCAACGGTAGGTGGGCCCGAAAAAAAACGGTCCTACGGACCTAGTGCTCTGAAACCATGTTAGAATCTAGCAGCAGGAATGAATGAACTATGAAAGGGTTGGGTACAAGTATGAAACCCTAAAAGGGGCTGTACCCCATATTGGCTACCCCACTACAGCCTAAACATATATAGCATATATATACTTTGACAGTATATTCCAAAGCATCCTTCTTCGAGCAGTCTTTGCCCTTGTGTCTTTCCGATTGTCTTCCGTCACGTGCTGGCGACATTGCTTAATGATGCTTTAAAGTGTGTGGCAACCGCGACAAATTCCATCTTGTATAGGATTGTAAATATTAGCCACATGAGGGTAAGCATGATGCGGCAGAGTCGAATTGAACTGCATTTTTTCTCGGAAGCGCAGAGGGACGAGACCGATGAGCTTGTTGGCATCTCCGTTGCAATCGGGTGCGCGTAAACCCATTTTGGGCTTAGTGCATCGGAGCTATCGTCGTGCTGGGTTGGCGGCAATGTGATAGAGTTTGGTGTCGCATTACGGAAGGTTGTTGCTATGTTATACTCCGTAATCGATCGGTTGAGAGGGGCTGGCTTTAGGTTGACGCACAGGTTGCGGATGATCAACACGGCGCATAACTCCTTTAGCACGACAATGCATTGTGCGCTCGCCAATTATTACTGTTTGCTACGGTAATGTAAGATATTGCGAACGTTGGGATGGCATTCCATATAAACTGCCGCGACCAGACCATATGTTGTATGCAGCATCTGACAAGGTACCAGGTGTTTATATTGTCGTCACCGTCGCCAGGTGTGGAGTGGCGATTCGTTGGATTTTGCCACTGTTTAAAAAACCCTATTGCGTGTTCCAGTTCGCAATGCATATATATGGTGGAAATTGTGAAAATAAAAGTTTGTACATTGAACTGTACATGGATGTATTATGAATGATGACCATTTTGCAAGGGACTAATTTATTGCAATTAGGTAGCATTCAGGAGCTCATACGAGTATACGCATCAGTTCACTGAGGTTCTTCGTACAGAGTATGTGCATAATGAAGACAGCCCAGATGTTCTTGCACCTTAGTTTCGGTGGGGAAGTTTCAGAATCAGGCTCGGCAAGCGGCGGCACGTACGCGGAGGCGCAGGTCATGGGTCAAGGGGCCAACATCCCATCCGCTCCTATCGGACGGTCCGTCAAGCCCAACCGTTTGAGGGATAAGGCAGATTGTGTCTGTGATTGGCTGCCGCCAATTGCCGCGAGAAATTCCTGTCACATAAACAGCACCGGGACTGCCGCCGACAACCCGTCCCGTCAGTCGGGGACAGAGGTGGAGGGTCTGCGAAGGTGGACCCCGGCAAACGCCCCCCGTTATTGTATCACCCACGGCGGAAGCTAGCTGCGGTGCGCAGCAGCAGAGCCTACACGTTAGCCGAACAGCGGAGCAAGATTCGCAAATGGGAGGAACCAAGGTGGAATCCAACGAACCAGATTGCAGGACTTCAAAATGCGGAGTTTCCAAAGAGAGTTGCTGAAAGCAGGTGAGGAGATAAAACGAAAAGCGGATTCAACTTCCAGTAGTAGAGTTCAGGGAGGGAGTCTCGGAAGGTGAAATTAAAAGCAACTCCAACCTTTGTTTTCTGGTTGGTAGGCAAACAACCACCACTTGTAGGTGGTTCTATCTTATCCATCGTCAAGGTGTTCTCTCGTTCTGCTAGTTTCCTTAGCTCCGGTTGACTGAAGTGGCTTATTGGGTGTAGAATTTTGTGTTGCTGTAATCAGGATGCCACATTAGTTACTCGAGCAAAGCCTTCTCCGAAGTTCACGTAATAGCTGTTTGGCATGGGTATACCCCGGCGATCCGCATACACGAGGTTCGTAGACCAATCAGACAGCGACAGCTCTCCAGGCTCCTCCAATCCCTCTTCCCCATTATGCCAGAGCAATCCCTATCGGTTCACATCAGCGAACCTACACACGCCAGAGGACGCCAAATCGCTCCAAACCGAATGGAACCTCTATCAGATGCAATCTCCATCCCCGCCCATGCCCCACGCCTTAGCTCCCGTAGTCGAAGCCGAGAATGATGCGCAAGAGCTTGAGCTCGGGGCAGAACCGGGGGAGGTGCAATCTCTTTGCGACGACAGAGAGAATGGCGGAGGGGAGGCGGAATGCGCGGGCGGAAGCGGGGCTGGCGGAGGATGGGGGGAGCGGAGAGCGCAGCTGCTGCAGCTCGGAGCGGCGAGCTGGGACAGGCTGGTGCCGCGCCGAGTGCGGAGAATCTTCGGGCAGGGAATCATGCCGCGCGCGTGGGGGTCGCAAGGGCCAATATTCGGGCTCGTGGATCGGCAAACCACGCCCGCATCGGCATGGGAGTGGTGCGTGCCAATGCGCTGCGGGTAATTCTTTGGAAAAATTCAGTTGTACGTTGTTGCTAGGTATTCTTGAACGAGTTTTCGTTGCTAGGTCTCACGAATTTTCTTATTCTTGAACGACTTCTTGAACATCTATCTTCCCCTCCTCGTCCCCTCCTCTCTCCTCACACAGGCTAGTGGACACGTGGAAGTCTCGCCGCGTGGGGCGGTTGGATTTCCTCCGCCACCCGCTCGTGCGGCCGGTAGTGCAGCTGCCGACGGAGGCGTTCGTGGGGCTGCTGTTCTGGACGAGCCTCATGGCGTTCGTGCGCTCCGTGTACTGGTTCATGCTCGCCGCGCAGGGCCTCACGTCACACATCCTCCTGCTTGGTTACCTGCTCGTCCCAGGTAGGGCTCCATTCAGTCAGGTGCTCCCCGCGCTCCGTGTACTGGTTCATGCTCGCCGCGCAGGGCCTCACGTCACACATCCTCCTGCTTGGTTACCTGCTCGTCCCAGGTAGGGCTCCATTCAGTCAGGTGCTCCCCGCGCTCCGTGTACTGGTTCATGCTCGCCGCGCAGGGCCTCACGTCACACATCCTCCTGCTTGGTTACCTGCTCGTCCCAGGTAGGGCTCCATTCAGTCAGGTGCTCCCCGCGCTCCGTGTACTGGTTCATGCTCGCCGCGCAGGGCCTCACGTCACACATCCTCCTGCTTGGTTACCTGCTCGTCCCAGGTAGGGCTCCATTCAGTCAGGTGCTCCCCGCGCTCCGTGTACTGGTTCATGCTCGCCGCGCAGGGCCTCACGTCACACATCCTCCTGCTTGGTTACCTGCTCGTCCCAGGTAGGGCTCCATTCAGTCAGGTGCTCCCCGCGCTCCGTGTACTGGTTCATGCTCGCCGCGCAGGGCCTCACGTCACACATCCTCCTGCTTGGTTACCTGCTCGTCCCAGGTAGGGCTCCATTCAGTCAGGTGCTCCCCGCGCTCCGTGTACTGGTTCATGCTCGCCGCGCAGGGCCTCACGTCACACATCCTCCTGCTTGGTTACCTGCTCGTCCCAGGTAGGGCTCCATTCAGTCAGGTGCTCCCCGCGCTCCGTGTACTGGTTCATGCTCGCCGCGCAGGGCCTCACGTCACACATCCTCCTGCTTGGTTACCTGCTCGTCCCAGGTAGGGCTCCATTCAGTCAGGTGCTCCCCGCGCTCCGTGTACTGGTTCATGCTCGCCGCGCAGGGCCTCACGTCACACATCCTCCTGCTTGGTTACCTGCTCGTCCCAGGTAGGGCTCCATTCAGTCAGGTGCTCCCCGCGCTCCGTGTACTGGTTCATGCTCGCCGCGCAGGGCCTCACGTCACACATCCTCCTGCTTGGTTACCTGCTCGTCCCAGGTAGGGCTCCATTCAGTCAGGTGCTCCCCGCGCTCCGTGTACTGGTTCATGCTCGCCGCGCAGGGCCTCACGTCACACATCCTCCTGCTTGGTTACCTGCTCGTCCCAGGTAGGGCTCCATTCAGTCAGGTGCTCCCCGCGCTCCGTGTACTGGTTCATGCTCGCCGCGCAGGGCCTCACGTCACACATCCTCCTGCTTGGTTACCTGCTCGTCCCAGGTAGGGCTCCATTCAGTCAGGTGCTCCCCGCGCTCCGTGTACTGGTTCATGCTCGCCGCGCAGGGCCTCACGTCACACATCCTCCTGCTTGGTTACCTGCTCGTCCCAGGTAGGGCTCCATTCAGTCAGGTGCTCCCCGCGCTCCGTGTACTGGTTCATGCTCGCCGCGCAGGGCCTCACGTCACACATCCTCCTGCTTGGTTACCTGCTCGTCCCAGGTAGGGCTCCATTCAGTCAGGTGCTCCCCGCGCTCCGTGTACTGGTTCATGCTCGCCGCGCAGGGCCTCACGTCACACATCCTCCTGCTTGGTTACCTGCTCGTCCCAGGTAGGGCTCCATTCAGTCAGGTGCTCCCCGCGCTCCGTGTACTGGTTCATGCTCGCCGCGCAGGGCCTCACGTCACACATCCTCCTGCTTGGTTACCTGCTCGTCCCAGGTAGGGCTCCATTCAGTCAGGTGCTCCCCGCGCTCCGTGTACTGGTTCATGCTCGCCGCGCAGGGCCTCACGTCACACATCCTCCTGCTTGGTTACCTGCTCGTCCCAGGTAGGGCTCCATTCAGTCAGGTGCTCCCCGCGCTCCGTGTACTGGTTCATGCTCGCCGCGCAGGGCCTCACGTCACACATCCTCCTGCTTGGTTACCTGCTCGTCCCAGGTAGGGCTCCATTCAGTCAGGTGCTCCCCGCGCTCCGTGTACTGGTTCATGCTCGCCGCGCAGGGCCTCACGTCACACATCCTCCTGCTTGGTTACCTGCTCGTCCCAGGTAGGGCTCCATTCAGTCAGGTGCTCCCCGCGCTCCGTGTACTGGTTCATGCTCGCCGCGCAGGGCCTCACGTCACACATCCTCCTGCTTGGTTACCTGCTCGTCCCAGGTAGGGCTCCATTCAGTCAGGTGCTCCCCGCGCTCCGTGTACTGGTTCATGCTCGCCGCGCAGGGCCTCACGTCACACATCCTCCTGCTTGGTTACCTGCTCGTCCCAGGTAGGGCTCCATTCAGTCAGGTGCTCCCCGCGCTCCGTGTACTGGTTCATGCTCGCCGCGCAGGGCCTCACGTCACACATCCTCCTGCTTGGTTACCTGCTCGTCCCAGGTAGGGCTCCATTCAGTCAGGTGCTCCCCGCGCTCCGTGTACTGGTTCATGCTCGCCGCGCAGGGCCTCACGTCACACATCCTCCTGCTTGGTTACCTGCTCGTCCCAGGTAGGGCTCCATTCAGTCAGGTGCTCCCCGCGCTCCGTGTACTGGTTCATGCTCGCCGCGCAGGGCCTCACGTCACACATCCTCCTGCTTGGTTACCTGCTCGTCCCAGGTAGGGCTCCATTCAGTCAGGTGCTCCCCGCGCTCCGTGTACTGGTTCATGCTCGCCGCGCAGGGCCTCACGTCACACATCCTCCTGCTTGGTTACCTGCTCGTCCCAGGTAGGGCTCCATTCAGTCAGGTGCTCCCCGCGCTCCGTGTACTGGTTCATGCTCGCCGCGCAGGGCCTCACGTCACACATCCTCCTGCTTGGTTACCTGCTCGTCCCAGGTAGGGCTCCATTCAGTCAGGTGCTCCCCGCGCTCCGTGTACTGGTTCATGCTCGCCGCGCAGGGCCTCACGTCACACATCCTCCTGCTTGGTTACCTGCTCGTCCCAGGTAGGGCTCCATTCAGTCAGGTGCTCCCCGCGCTCCGTGTACTGGTTCATGCTCGCCGCGCAGGGCCTCACGTCACACATCCTCCTGCTTGGTTACCTGCTCGTCCCAGGTAGGGCTCCATTCAGTCAGGTGCTCCCCGCGCTCCGTGTACTGGTTCATGCTCGCCGCGCAGGGCCTCACGTCACACATCCTCCTGCTTGGTTACCTGCTCGTCCCAGGTAGGGCTCCATTCAGTCAGGTGCTCCCCGCGCTCCGTGTACTGGTTCATGCTCGCCGCGCAGGGCCTCACGTCACACATCCTCCTGCTTGGTTACCTGCTCGTCCCAGGTAGGGCTCCATTCAGTCAGGTGCTCCCCGCGCTCCGTGTACTGGTTCATGCTCGCCGCGCAGGGCCTCACGTCACACATCCTCCTGCTTGGTTACCTGCTCGTCCCAGGTAGGGCTCCATTCAGTCAGGTGCTCCCCGCGCTCCGTGTACTGGTTCATGCTCGCCGCGCAGGGCCTCACGTCACACATCCTCCTGCTTGGTTACCTGCTCGTCCCAGGTAGGGCTCCATTCAGTCAGGTGCTCCCCGCGCTCCGTGTACTGGTTCATGCTCGCCGCGCAGGGCCTCACGTCACACATCCTCCTGCTTGGTTACCTGCTCGTCCCAGGTAGGGCTCCATTCAGTCAGGTGCTCCCCGCGCTCCGTGTACTGGTTCATGCTCGCCGCGCAGGGCCTCACGTCACACATCCTCCTGCTTGGTTACCTGCTCGTCCCAGGTAGGGCTCCATTCAGTCAGGTGCTCCCCGCGCTCCGTGTACTGGTTCATGCTCGCCGCGCAGGGCCTCACGTCACACATCCTCCTGCTTGGTTACCTGCTCGTCCCAGGTAGGGCTCCATTCAGTCAGGTGCTCCCCGCGCTCCGTGTACTGGTTCATGCTCGCCGCGCAGGGCCTCACGTCACACATCCTCCTGCTTGGTTACCTGCTCGTCCCAGGTAGGGCTCCATTCAGTCAGGTGCTCCCCGCGCTCCGTGTACTGGTTCATGCTCGCCGCGCAGGGCCTCACGTCACACATCCTCCTGCTTGGTTACCTGCTCGTCCCAGGTAGGGCTCCATTCAGTCAGGTGCTCCCCGCGCTCCGTGTACTGGTTCATGCTCGCCGCGCAGGGCCTCACGTCACACATCCTCCTGCTTGGTTACCTGCTCGTCCCAGGTAGGGCTCCATTCAGTCAGGTGCTCCCCGCGCTCCGTGTACTGGTTCATGCTCGCCGCGCAGGGCCTCACGTCACACATCCTCCTGCTTGGTTACCTGCTCGTCCCAGGTAGGGCTCCATTCAGTCAGGTGCTCCCCGCGCTCCGTGTACTGGTTCATGCTCGCCGCGCAGGGCCTCACGTCACACATCCTCCTGCTTGGTTACCTGCTCGTCCCAGGTAGGGCTCCATTCAGTCAGGTGCTCCCCGCGCTCCGTGTACTGGTTCATGCTCGCCGCGCAGGGCCTCACGTCACACATCCTCCTGCTTGGTTACCTGCTCGTCCCAGGTAGGGCTCCATTCAGTCAGGTGCTCCCCGCGCTCCGTGTACTGGTTCATGCTCGCCGCGCAGGGCCTCACGTCACACATCCTCCTGCTTGGTTACCTGCTCGTCCCAGGTAGGGCTCCATTCAGTCAGGTGCTCCCCGCGCTCCGTGTACTGGTTCATGCTCGCCGCGCAGGGCCTCACGTCACACATCCTCCTGCTTGGTTACCTGCTCGTCCCAGGTAGGGCTCCATTCAGTCAGGTGCTCCCCGCGCTCCGTGTACTGGTTCATGCTCGCCGCGCAGGGCCTCACGTCACACATCCTCCTGCTTGGTTACCTGCTCGTCCCAGGTAGGGCTCCATTCAGTCAGGTGCTCCCCGCGCTCCGTGTACTGGTTCATGCTCGCCGCGCAGGGCCTCACGTCACACATCCTCCTGCTTGGTTACCTGCTCGTCCCAGGTAGGGCTCCATTCAGTCAGGTGCTCCCCGCGCTCCGTGTACTGGTTCATGCTCGCCGCGCAGGGCCTCACGTCACACATCCTCCTGCTTGGTTACCTGCTCGTCCCAGGTAGGGCTCCATTCAGTCAGGTGCTCCCCGCGCTCCGTGTACTGGTTCATGCTCGCCGCGCAGGGCCTCACGTCACACATCCTCCTGCTTGGTTACCTGCTCGTCCCAGGTAGGGCTCCATTCAGTCAGGTGCTCCCCGCGCTCCGTGTACTGGTTCATGCTCGCCGCGCAGGGCCTCACGTCACACATCCTCCTGCTTGGTTACCTG